AAAAAAAAAAAAAGCAAAGACAACAACAACGCCCCCCCCCAAAAAAAACCGCAGCAACAAAAATAAAAATACCCTACCACCATCACCACCACAACAGAACCAAACCAATGAGAATGATGCTGTCAACAGGGAAGGCTTGTGAGCTGCAGCCTAAAATGCCACAAAGGATGTGGCAGTGCAAAGAGAGGCTCAGTGTGTCATAAGTAAAAACAACCTGAAAGCACAGAGATCCTCAGGCCCACTTATACGAAGAAGCAGGAAGAACGCCGCCATGGCTGGAGGGGGGGCAGAGTGACAGTGGGCGGCGTGAGGGCTTGAGGGCCTGGGTGGGGAGCTTGTCTAGGGCTTGAGTTTTCAGGTAATGCAGATTTAAAGTGAGTAGTGCCGAGACGTGATTCATGTTTCAAAAGATCCTCTTGGCTATGGCTCCAAGAATGAATTGGGAGAAATAGGAGAGAATCGAGCTATGTCAGAGTCCCTGTGAGAGAGGATGCTGGATGGGACCAGACACGTGCAGGCAAAGTGGGTGGAGTTGGCATGCGTGTAGAACCAACAGGACTGTTAACTCAGGAAAGTAGCTAGTACATAAATAGAATGTAGATCATTCTTGATTCTCAAAGTAGATATGAACTGATAGGCTTCAGAATAGCTGGAATAGACCAAAACTAAGAGTTAGCTTTGTTATATCCTCATTGTACTTACAGATCATACCAAACTTTTATTTTGTCCTACTTGATTGCATCTGTAAAACCTCCCAAAATATGTGGTGCAAAGTTAGGTACGTAGTTCCCACTCATCATTCATCAAAAAGTTGCCTGGCGTCACACAACCGTTTCATCATCTTCCTGAACTTTGACCCAGTCAGTAGCTGTTATTTCTGGTGCAGTGTAGGCAGCAGACTGCAGGGTGCGTCTGGGTTCACAGGTCGCAGTTGGTGCTTGCCGCAGGTGGTACCCGTGCGCTCCAGTCACCTCTACACCTGCCATACCTCAGTCCTTCCCCGACCCCTGTGCCAAAGGTTTGCAAAGATTTGTCATTATTTAAAGACCATTCCAAAAAATCCTCCTTCCCTTTTGTCCTCCTTCCTTTTTCACACCCTTCCTTTTCTTCCTTCCTGGCTGCCCATTTTTCTACCTCTCTCCTTTCTTCGTTCAGGAGCACGGGCTTCAAAGCCAGAGAGACTTGGCTTATTGACTTCAGTGATCTGTGGTACTTACTTAACTCTTCCAAGTTTCTATGTCCTTTTTTTTTTTTTTTTTTTAATTTTATTTATGTGTGTGTGTGTGGCCAGCTCAGCCCACCAGGGGGTGGGGCTGGCTGGCATGTGGTGCTGGGGGATTGAACCGCGGTCCCTGTGCTTTGCTAAGCTTGTTCTAAGTAGGTGCTTTAGATCACTGAGCCATCTCACCAGCCCGTCTATGTCCTTATTTATGAATCTTCAGTAATTATATAGTTTTATTACTCCTCAAGCATAGGGTATGGGGAAAGGAATATTTTTAAAAAACCTATAATGGAACCATTAGCTGTTAAGGAACTTGAGACCATGTGGGAATAGAGAAAGGGGAATAGAATGAGGTCAGACATAGGCCTATGTGGTTGGGCATCGTGGCCCACACCTATAATCTAAGCACTAGGGATGCTGAGACAGGAGGATCACTGTGAGTTCAAGGCCAGCCTGAGCTACATAGTGAGTTCAAGACTACATAGCAAGGCCCTGTCTTGTACAAACAAACAAGACGCAGACACATAATTATCCTTGTAAGTAGTTTTACAGCTCCTAAAATAAATGATAAAGACTAGATACGCTTCTCCAGATCTAAGAGACACAGAGTAGTTTGTATTTTCGATTTGGAAAATCCTTATATGACATGATTTCACCTATCCAGCTTGTAGTCAGATAGGCTCTTTGATATCTAAGGTTATACACCCATTGCTTCTTCTGGTTAGGTTTTTTTTTTTTTTTTTTTTTTTGGTGGAACCGGGGATTGAACTCAGGCCTTTGCACTTGCCAGGGAAGCACTTATTCCACTGAGCCATCTCCCCAGCCCCCCAACCCATTGCTTCTTAATGACAATGTTAATTCTTCATCTAGTCCACTGGAGTATATGCTTGGCTTCTCTCGCTCTCTCTCTTTCTCTCTCTCTCTTTCTCTCTCTCTTGCTCTCGCTCTCTTGCTCTCTCTCTCTCTCTCTCTCTCTCTCTCTCACACACACACACCTCCCCCAACCCTCTTCTTGTCCCTCTGTTATCTGTTTCATTTTTCTTAATTCCCTGTTATTCTATCATCATAAGTAGTTTGCAATTTACATATCCTAAATTAAAAATTCACAAAACAGTTTAAAAGTTATCAAGAAACTTTTCCTTACTTAGAAGGGAGCAGGACACATTCTTGTGAGTGGAAAAGGTAGTATCATTGAAACCCATGTGACACAGCTACTTCAGTAGTTAAACACAGACAAGTTGATATTGGACTTTTAGGACACATAGGATAAGCAAGACTATAAAGACAAAAGAAAACAATGAAAAGAGCAAGTGTTATTGTATAGGATTATTACTATTAGAAATGTATCAACCAGTAGTACCCTAAAGGGAGAATATAATGCAATACAATCCCAGAAGCTCTCATGCAGAGATGACCCCCTCATGGCTTACTTTTCTCCACTATTCCAGAGAACCCACATAGATTTATTCTTTCTCAGCTGTTCCAGGAAATCTGAGTCAGACCTCACTGCCAGGAAAGGCCACCTAAATAGGCAGCGTGTAAGTGGGAATCTTCATAAAAAGTCACGTTCTTGTAACTTGAGTATAGAGTCTACCACGTAATAGGTACTTGTGCAGTGTTAATTTTCTTCTTCCACTGTAACAGATTTACTTTTTCTCTAGGATCTGGATGCAGCTTTGCCTATTATTGAAAATTACAAGGATCAGTTGTTGGCAATTGGAGAGGTAAAGGCTCATTAGCAGACCAAACAACAACATCTATATGACATGTGAAAATAATTCTTAGTTCAGTATTGGCAATTATAACTGCCTTGGATAATTACATTCACCCATGCAGCTGAGGACTTTTTTGGGGGGTACTGGGAGTCAAACTCAGGACCTTACGCTTGCTTGGCAGGCACTGTGTCTCTGAGCTCTATGACTAGTCCAGTAATTTGTTGATACTTCTTTCCTCAGTAAGCAAGAGTGTGTAGAGATAAAACAATAGAAGGTCTTCCAGGCTAAGCTTATGTTCATGGGGAAAAAACCCCCAAAACTTCAGTTGTATTTCTAAGTAACACTTTCTTTTCTGTTTAAATGTATTTGTTTAAATATTGCTTTTTTCCCTTAAATATTGGTGCTTAAACACCTGTTAAGTTAAAATAGTATGTGTAACACTTCATAAGTAATTTAAAAACATGGGCTGGGGAGATGGCTCAGTAGAATAAGCGCTTGCCTAGCAAGTGCAAAGGCCTGAGTTCAATCCCTGGTTCCGCAAAAAAAAAAAAAAAAAAAAATGCATACTACAAATAACATGTTAAATAATTTGTAATGGTAATGTATCACCTAATAATAAATTCATTTCTTATTGTATATCAGAAAAGCCAGTATCAAAGCAAATGGAAGACTTTGCACTGAGTCTTAGAAGGCACCTTTTATTCTGCTAGTGGGCTAGGGAACCCAGAGGTTCACATCACTGGCCCAGAGTCAGATTTGAGTTCAGTTTAAATGTGGTTTGCAAGGGGGAAGTAAAAGCCGCTAGGTTGTTACACGATTGGTTACATGGAGTACAAGAATGATGTCATGGTTGTCAGGCAGGTTTTCACCAGAACATTCTGGGAGGGAGCCTGAGAAGAGCAGGTAGAGTTGAACGTGTATGTGACTAGGCCAATTTTCCCCCAAACAGGACGGCCTTGAAGCCCTTGCAGCAAGTTGGAATCACTGTATGGTTTTAAAACACAAGGTGGACACAGTCAGTTTGACCCACACATTGTTGAGGGGGAACATCTGGGCCTGGACAGCCGAGGCTGGCCTCGTGCCAGGGAGCCTGAGCATAGTCCCAGGGTAGGAATTGATTTCTAACTTTTGTTATAATAATATGTCTACAAGTCTGCTGTTCTCTAAATGTGCCCTAACAATTAAACATAAAAGAGAAGGATGACATTTAAATTCAGAATATAAGTTACGGAATAAGGTTGAAGTAGCATCAGAAGAAGAAGTCATTAATCTGTGTTGTCCAGTATGGGGCCCACGTGTGACTGCAGAACCCCTAAAACATGCCTGCTTGGAATTGAGATGTGCTGTGAGTGTACAGCACACAAGAAGTTTCAAAGTTTTAGTAAAACGGTGTGGTGGTGCACACCTACAAGCCCAGCACTCGGGAGGCTGAGGCAGGAGGATGACTGCAAATTCAAGGTCAGCCTACACTACAAACTGAGTTCAAGGGCAGCCTGAACCACGTAGTGAAACCGTGTCTCAAAAATGTGGGGGCTCATTGGTTTCTCAGTGTTCTCAGGAGAAAACAGTGAGGGGCTTTGGAAAATAAAGACGAGACAACAGCGGAGGTCAGGTGGAGGCCTCTTTACCAGGTGGGCGAGGGCTGACAACGATAGTGTGGGTATTTATTTGTACCTCTGCAAAGTTAGTAGCACAAGACTCAAAGTTGCCTAGTGACTACTGATTCAAACCGTCCAGACAGGATGCTTTTCTCCAGACTGACGTGATTGACTGCGTTAGGCACTGTGGCTTTTTCTTGCTTCCACACACATAACCGATTTCCAGCTCTCGTCACTCCCAACCAGAAAACCAAACCAAAGAGAAGACAACCCTAGTCTGTTGCTTCAGTACAACAAAAAAACCTGCATATGTTTGTGTGAACACACACATAAATTACTCATTTTTTTAATATTATGTGTTCAAGTACTGTTTTTAATTCATTGAGTTAAAGTATATTATTAAGATGAATTTCACCTATTTTTGTTAATATTTTTCATGTGGCTACAGTACTGATTCATAGTATTTGGGGAGCTCATTAAACCATAAATATGCAATTGTATTGTTTTTCTGCTATAGGTTGGACTAGATTTCTCTCCCAGATTTGCTGGCACTGATGAACAGAAGGAAGAGCAAAGACAAGTCCTAATCAGACAGATCCAATTAGCCAAAAGGCTAAATTTGCCTTTGTAAGTAAATTAATCTTTTACAATAATAGCTGTACACCAAGTTAAATAACATTCTAAGAGTCCTTTTGAAATTGAATTGTGCATCATTTTTTCACTGAATTTTTTTTTTTTTTTTTTTTTCATTTTTAGGAAGGGTCTACAGAGTGTTCAGGGTCTCACTATTAGAGCACACTCGTAGTGATCCTCCTGAGGTTTGTTTTTTTTTTTTTTTGAGTACCAATAAGACCTTTTATTCATTGTATTTTCCCGAGGAAAGGAGAAGGGAAGGAAAAGTCAGCACACGTGTTACAAAATGATTACAAAATAGGAAAGAAAGTTTAGTGGGGTATAGCAAAATCAATCATCAAACAGACACCCCAGTGAAAGGGTCACCAAAGCCCAAGGGGCCTTGGTCCTGGCAGTTCAGGAATGATGTGAAGCATTCAAGGAAAGAACAGACAGGTATATATACTTTCCCACCCTCCACCCTCCAGCCCTCTCCATAAATTCAAGATTTCACACAAAGCTTTGGTTTCTAGCAGTAAACATGGAGTTACATCATTCATCTGTCTCCTATTAAACAATCTTGAGGCCACTTTGACATAAGTTTCTTACACCTGCATAAATAAAAGTTCCTGAGTGACTTGAATATACATTCATCCTCCCTGACCTGGTCTCCTGACCCCACTTGCTTCTCTAGGATTACAAATTGAGTAGGTTTGAGCCACGCAAACAGCAGGTGTTTGGCATGAATTGCATCCAATAACAGTCTTGACTCAGGAGGTTGGGAACAAGGGGTAGGGGATCCTTGCTCCTTCAGGATTTCTACCCAAGTCGTCTAAGAGTTGCAGAGACACTTTAAGAATTAAGTAGATATGTGTGTGGGTGTGTTGATTTTCTTTAGGGGGAGAAGAAGGTTTTAGGACAGATTTAGTCCCAAATAGGAAAAAAGAGAAAGGGGACTACAAAAGATGGTTCAAGGGCCCCATTTCAAAAAGAGCCCCAACTTATTTTTCAGATCCTTTTGCCAGGTGTAGAACCTTCAGTCAAAGATGCTTTGGCTATTTTTCTCTCAATACAAAAAGAATTTTATAAACAATAAAATCCCAAAAGAACATGGAGAAAAGACCAACACGTATTTACACAAACTAGGCCACCTAGCAATCACCAACTCAGAGACTCAGCAAAAGTCCTACAAAGCTCAGACAAATACAATAATTAAGAGGGGGGCAGAATTTGGGGGAGACAAGAAACCAGGATCAGACACACACTACCCAGTGTGTTCTATTGCATTTGTCCTGTCTCAACACAGGTAGGTCTGCAGTGACTCACAGCATGTAAACGAACCCCCCCCCCTTTTTTTTAGCTATCAAGACACTATTCATCACTACTGCAGCAGGGCAGGACACTGGCTCCTGGGACCACAGAGGGCCTCTCTTATGGGTCTTTCTGGAAGCCAAGAATGTTGAATGGTTCATAATTTTAGTCCTTGCTTCTTCATACAGCCATTCCTGCCCAGGACAGAATGGGCACAAGGGTATTGGTCTTAAAACTTAGCCTTACCAACTCACTTTTTTTTTTAAATACAAACACACACACACACACACACACACACACACCCCTGTTGTGCGTTGTCAAGCTAGGCTTATCTGTCTAGCCTAGGATGGATCAGATATGTAAAGCAAGCCCCATACCCCTAGGATTAGACAACAATCATCACATCACCTAACCTCGGCTTCTTTTCTGAGCATTTTACCTGGCCCAGCCTCTCCTAACCTCTCTGCACCACCTTTTCTGTGTAGACTAATTTCTAGTCTTCCAGTCGAAGTTCAAGTCGTGGGGCAACCCCTTTAAAACCTAGTCTCCTATCAAACATTTTTAAGGTGGAAGGGGTTTTAAAGGGTACTATGGCAGAAGATTCAACTCTAATGGGCAGAAATGAGGTAGTTCACTTGATGGGCTATGCAGTCCAAATGTTTGCTCTCCATAGTGATAAGGACAAAAAGTATTCCTGCTGTGCAGACCTGGAGCTGCTGCCGACTGATCCCTGAGATTGCTCATGTACCTGAGAACACAGTGCAGGAATGAGGGCCTTAGATTAAAATACACAAAAATACAAAGCCAGAATATATGATAAAAAAAAAAGGTAAATGCACAAGATACGTCATTTGCACACAGTACAGTTGGCATCCTGGAGAAAGTGGGACCCAAGGAGCAGTTATCCAAAGGAGCAAATAAATAAAATCACATTGGCCCCAAAAGGGGCGGGAGTAAGTTAGGAGCAGCAGGTCTGCAGCTGTTCTCCCAATCACTCTTTTTCTCTGTCACCACAACCCATTGCTTGGAACAGTTCCCAGCACCACATCCCAAGATTGGGTTATGAGGGAAAAAGATACTAAACCTCCCCCCTCCATCCCCACTCCCCCCCCCCATGTTCCTGAGATTCCTTCCCATTTAATGTAGTAGCTTGTGGATTGGGTCTATCAATCTGGCCTCACGTGTAATTATTTCACCCTGGCAAGGGAAATACTACATATCCTTCTTTAAAAGGAAAACAACTTCCCCATTCTTTTGGGGGTAAAGCCTCAGATAAAGCATACAGGATCCTCCTGTTTTCAGCCTCCCAAAGAGCTGGGATTACAGGAGTGGGCCACAATGCCCAGCCTCAATTGCTGTTTCAGCACACCCCAGGGGCGGGGCTGGCACGGCAGGCCTGGGGATTGAGCCCCCAGCCCCTGAGCCTGCTTGCAGGCGCTTTAATCTGCTGAGGTATTTGGCTAGCCCTCACTGAATTATTTTATAGAACGAAAATAGAACCTAAGACTTTAAAAGTATTAAAAGGAATTTTCTTTTAAACAGAAATGTTCACTCAAGATCCGCGGGGAGACCTACCATCAACCTCTTACAGGAGCAAGGTATTTAAGCTCCTGAAAGAAATGTTCCTGGAGTTTAAGTTTGACAATGCCACTTCATGTTCTCAAGGAGCAAGCCATGTTTTAATTTGATTTCTTAAAGGGAAAGGAATGGGGCACCACCAGTTGTTGCTAAAGTAAAAATGTATTTTATAGCATTTTTCACACGTTGAAAAATGCCATCCAGGGGGCCTGGCCTTACCTCAGTTGTTTAAGTGGCTGCTTCCACAAAGCTGTCAGCCTCAGGTTGCTGTAGTTGGATCCCCACAACACTAGAGCCAGCCAAACCACCCCCGAGGGCATTCGGAGCAAAAAAAAAAAAAAGGGGGGGGGGCTGGTAAGATGGCTCAGTGGTCTAAAGCACCTACTTAGAACAAGCTTAGCAAAACACAGGGACCGCGGTTCAATCCCCCAGCACCACATGCCAGCCAGCCCCGTCCCCTGGTGGGCTGAGCTGGCCACACACACATACACACACACACACATAAATAAAATTAAAAAAAAAAAAGAAAAATGCCATCCACAGTAAGAAACACATTTTGACACACACACACGCACACACAGAAATAAACCTGACTGAGGTTTTACAAGCGGTGTGGAGTTGTGTATGTGTGTGTAGGTGTGGATAAAAGAATACACTGGCTTATTTTGATCTCCTGAGTTTGTTACTTAACTCATAGTGTCATAACCTACTAATTGTCCCAGTTACCATTTGGAAAAACACTGTAAAATGATGAAATAAAGGTAGTTATGTGCAACTAGAAAGCACTACATTTCTGAGTGCTGGATGCTGAAAGAAAGTGCAGTTTTTCTGCAGGGTGTGCAACCATCCTTTCAGAACTGGAGCTGGTTTTGTGACGCCACCTCTGGCCTCTTCATTCTTGAGTCATTTCGTTTTCCATTTCTTCCACTAGCATTTTTGTTGGGAAAATCAGTTTGCCTAAGAATCTCTTATTAGGAATAACCATGACATTTCACAGGTTTTTAGAAAAGATCTAATGGTATAGGAAGCTTAAGCAAAGGTTTCAAAATTTGTATTTAAATTTTATTTAATGATTGTATTCTGAAGATTAAGAATTTATTTTTATTCTCTTATCTGCCTCTGTGATGCTTATCCTAGAATCTCATCTTTGTCATAATGTTCAACATTTATTTAAAATGTCCAACATTTATTTAAATCAGATCACTGTTGTTTAGTTTGAGTAACAGGAAGCCTCTTGTTGAGGAAATAAAATGGGCTCTGATTTCTCTTGGCTTTTCGGAGGTGCTGACAAGGTACTGCTGCATGCGTTTGACGGCCGACCGTCTGTCGCCATGGAGGGCGTAAGAGCTGGGTACTTCTTCTCAATTCCACCGTCTATCATAAGGAGTGGACAGGTAGGTTCTTTTATTAAAATGTAGCTAACACTATGAGGAATACAATTTAAAATATAAACTTTGGCAACATACTTGTGATACTATTCTAGCTTCATTTGAACAATCTTAGGTCACTGCTCCACATTTATTAACTAAAAAATGTACCTAAGACCTAAATATTAAGAGCTAAAATTAAAAAACTCAGGAGAAAACAGACCTATATTTTTGGACCTTAGAGTAGGCAGTAGTTTGCTAAGTATGGCACCAAAACCCAAGCGACCAAAGCAAAATATGAGTAAGTTGGGAATTTTCTAAGTGTAAAACTTCCACAATCAGAAAGACTTTTATACTTCAATTCACACTATCCATAAAGTGAAAAGGCAACCCACAAAAAGAGAAAAAAACCTTACAAATCGTGTACTCAGTAAAGGTTGAGTATCCAGAATATACAAAGTACCATTGCAGCTCACTGATAAAAAACAAGTATATAACTTGATTAAAACGGGCAAAGGAATTAAGTAGATATTTCTTTTAAGAAAGCAGTCTGTGCATAGTGGTGCATGCCTGTAATCGTAGCACTTGGAAGACTGAGGCAAGAGGATTGCCATGAGTTCAAGGCCGGCCTGGACTAGGTAGAGTTCAAGATGAGTCTGCACTACGTAGCGAGAGCCATTATCAAGTAAAACAGACACAACACAACAAAACAAAAAAACAACGAAAGATAAATAAAATCACTGATAAGCGCTTGCCTGGCAAGCTCAAGGACCTGAGCTTAATCCCCGGTTCTGCCAAAAAATAAAAATAAATAAAATAAATAAAAGAAAATCACTAAAACAGATAATCTATAACAAACTAGCTACATATATATATTTTTTTCTTTTTCTTCTTCTTTTTTTTTTTTTTTTTTGGTCTCACTGTGTAGCTCAGGCTGGCCTCAAACTCTCAGCAGTCCTCTTGCCTCAACTTTGCAAGCGCTGGGATTCCTCACAGGTGTGCACCCGCATACCCAGCAAGGAGTGTATATTTCTAAAGTTCTGATCTAAATTGTGACATTTCCTTCAAGGAAATTTATACCAGTTTAAGCTTTATCCACAGCACATGAGCATGCCCATTTGTGTACGCCTGAAATACAATCTTAAATCATTAATTTTACAGGGTTCCACTGCATATCATGTGTCTCCTTCCCATTTTTTTCCAGTTCAATGTCAGCAAACAGTTATGTTCTCAGCTTAAAACTTTTTGAGCTCACTATAGCCCTTACAATCCACACTTCAAGGATTATAAAACAAGAAATAAAAGCATCCACTATCCAGTCTAGAACTGAGTTGTGCAAAACAACTTTGGATTTATATTAATAAAACTTTGAGTGACTGAAAGAGAAGAAAGCACTTGAGTGAAGCAATGGCAGGAAGTGACAGAACGCTCTTCCCTGGTCTTTGGGCATTTATATCGGGTGTTTGCATTTCTTGCAGAGTGTACTTCATTTTTGTTACGGTAACTGATTATTGATTCTCTGGGAGGTATGGATAATTTTTAGCAATGAGTGTTTATATTTTAGCACAACTGTTCATAGTAGAACGATGGGATTGTGGTGGGCACCTGGGTGGTGGCACTAATCAACTGAATATGAAGCATGAATTTTAGATTCTTACACAATAAGATGCATCGGTGTGTAGGCTCTTGTGTTCTCATGCTTTAAACTTACCAGCTTTCTCTTTTTCTCTAAGAAGCAGAAACTTGTGAAGCAGCTGCCTTTGACATCTATCTGCTTAGAAACAGATTCACCTGCACTAGGGCCAGAAAAACAGGTACGTGATTTTGTCACTTCTGTCTTATTTAGACTGTATTTTTCATTTGAGCCATTTTCTTTTCTTTTCTTTTTTTTTTTTGCGGAACTGGGGACTGAACTCAGGCTGTTGAGCTTGTTAGGCAAGCACTTATTCTACTGAGCTATCTCCCCCGCCCCTGTTTGAGCTATTTTCAGTTATCTGGGTTTGCCAGTACAGTGTTGTGTAAATACAGTGAAATTAGAAAGCTAGGTTTAAGCTAATAATGAGTATTTTTCTCTCTATTATTATTTGATACTGGATAGGGAGCATGTCCTAATTTATGTAATAATGAGAATAATAAAAAGTACAACGACTGAAATCACAAAGATTTAGAGTATTTCTTACCCACTAGTTGATTTTAACCAAACTAAATCTGAGACTGTTTTTTCTTTCATAAAATGTGAGTTAAATAATAAAATGCTTTGAAGATTACACGATGTAATGTAGGTGCACATGCACAGCAGTGGCTGGTATTAGTAGGTGATCAGTAAGGACTCCTTTGAACCAGCATGCTATAATGAAATTTTATTTCTTGCAGTATAACTGTTGATATAATCAAATTTATGTATTCTTTGCTGTAATATTTTGTCACTATAAATCACAAATCATTACAGTCAAAATTTCATATACTCTTATATTGCTACTGTTTTAAATTATAATATTCTTTTTTTTTTTTTTTTTTCAGAACCAGGGATTGAACTCAGGCCCTTGCACTTGCCAGGGAAGCACTTGTTCTACTGAGCTATCTCCCCAGCCCCTAAATTATAATATTCTGAAAGGAAGCTTCAGTATCTGCAATATTTCAGAGTGTATATTAGAGCTACCTCCTTTAGTAAATTCCCATATCTGCCAAATTCAGAGAACTTGCACTCAAAATTCAGAGGCTTAGATGCAGTGGAGATTGTTAACAAACTATGATTGTGTATGATTTCAATGTGTTAATGATGTTCAAATAATTATACATTTTTACAAATGAGCTTTTATAAGAATATAAAGATGGGACTGGAGAGATAGATTGGTGGTCTAGACACCTGCCTGGTAAACATAAAGACCCAGGTTCGATCCCTGGTACTGCATGCCATGCTGGCCCGGGAACCTGGACATTGTGCTGGCCACCAGAACTGAGTGTGGTGTCACATGCCTGTAATCCCAGCACTGAGGAGGCTGAGATAGGAGGAGCGCTACAAGTCTGAGTTGCGTAGCAAGACCCTGTACCAAATAAATAATTTTTTTTAATTAGAAAAAGAAGAATGTTAGAGATAGATGAATAGGAAAGGATCATAACTGCATTGTTTTCTGTTTGAGCATATAATGTGTAGAATTACCCTGAGCATGAAGCAGAAGGAGAAGGTCCTAGCCGTCTCCTCTCTAAACAAGAGTAACTACTGAGCGCTGCTGTGACTCTGGTTTTCTATTTGCAACTGGTTGGTCAGACAGAACTGTGAGCTTGTGGCACAGTGCCTTGCGCAAACTAAATAAGCATTTATTGAATAAATGAATTTTTAGCCAGATATGCTTTTTGCCAAATTAGATAGGTCCTAGAAAGTTACACAGTTTACATGAATAAGAAACATAAAACCATTTGCCACTCAGGTTACTACTGTGGTACAGTAGCTAGATAAACTTTTTTTTTTTTTTTTTTTTTGCGGAACCGGGGTTTGAACTCAGGCCCTTGTACTTGCCAGGCAAATACTTATTCTACTGAGCCATCTCCCCAACCCCCAAGATAAACTCTTGTCATTAGATTGCTTGGATTTAACCCCCACCAGACTACCTACCAACTGTGTAGGATCCCTTCATACTTGTGAAAAAGTGATACTACTCATAACAGTTCCTGTCTCATAGAGTTGTTCTAAGGGATAGTAAGATATTCCATGTAAACCTTAGAACAAACCTCACCTGCAAAAAAACAAACAACGAAAACAAACCACTAAATAAACCTAAATACTTATGTCCTTTCAGATGGCTTTATATCTACATATTATACACATGTATATTTCATAAAAATAAAATGAGATTAAACACACTATAACTTGCTTTCTTATGGTGTCTGCATATATAATAAATCATTTGATAACTACGTAACAGGGCCAGCCAGATAGCTCAGCTCACTGAAGCGCCTGCTTAGGCAAACGCAGGGGCCCAGACTTTGATCCCCCGCGTGCCATGCTGACCTTGCCCCTGTGCCCTGAGACAGTGACTGAGACTGGGCGTGGTGGCACGCGCCTGTCATCCCAGCCCTGGGGAAGCTGAAAACAGGAGGATCACTACAAGTCTGATCTGTGTTGTGAGACCCTGTAGACCCTGTACTAAATACATTTTAAAAACCCTACATAATATCCTAGCATTAAAGCTTCATTTTGTTCACTTAGATTGTAACTTTATTTTTTTTTAATATTTATTTATTTATTTTTTTTATTTATTACATTTATTTATTGTGTATGTGTGTGGCCAACTCAGCCCACCAGGGGGCGGGTCTGGCTGGCATGTGGTGCTGGGGATTGAACCGCGGTCCCTGTGCTTTGCCAAGCTTGTTTCAAGTAGGTGCTTTAGACCACTGAGCCATCTCTCCAGCCCTCACTTAGATTGTTTTGGGTTATTTTTGCAGAACTGGGGATTGAACTCAGGCCCTTACACTTGCCAGGGAAGCACTTATTCCACTGAGCCATCTCCCCTGCCCACTTAGATTATATTATAAAGGAACATGATGCACATCCTTGAACAAAAACCTTTGTGCACGCTTTTCATTGTTTTGTTACACCAAGGAGCATTTTTCGTTTTTAGCTTCAACAGTTATTTTATTGCTCCAAATATTGTCATCCTGAGTAGACACTTCTTTATTACAGTAATAATTTTTTATCAAATTTAAATGCTAAGGGCTGCAGAGGTACCTCAGCGGCATAAGGTCCTGAGTTTGATTCCCGGTACTAAAAAAGAATGACACAAATTTAAATGCTAGTGGTTGTGCCATTAATTTATGAACATTATGAAAGAAAAATCCCTGTCAGTTGTACTAAGGTGTCATGCCAGGTGTGAGTAGAAGGCGAGTCTGAGAGACATCGAGGGCCTTAGAGTCAGTGAAGTGATGGCATTTAGTCTGTCCTCCTCCTGTTTGCATTTTGTAATCAAACTGCCAAGTAGGCTATAAGGCAAGGTGTGAGGAGTATGCAGTGACCTTTTTTGAGCTTTTACTTTGGCAACAAGCTAAGGGACAGTTAATCCGTCAACCAACTAATCTCCAGGCCTTCACCGTTTGCAGACCACTTCCCATGCTGAGCCTGGACTTCAGCGGTCGTACCAAGTTCTTTCAGGGACAAGGTAGACTTCAAATCAGCTTCATAGCCGTATTCCTTGGTGCCCCCAAGCATTTATTCTCCCCTTTTAAAAAAGGCACTAAAAAAAAGTAAATTCATTTTAAAAGAAAAGAAAAATAGGAGTTTGTCAGGGACCACAAATTATAAATTGAGGTAGGAGACTTCCAAGGGTGAGCTTGTCCTGCCCTTTGAGCCAGGTTGAAATGGGAAACTCCCTGTTCTTTCCTGGTCACAGATGGAATCCCTGGGGCTAGCGGCTGCTGTGGCCCTTAGGGGGAGTAGGATCTGCTGAAGGTGATAAGGCACCCAGGAATAGGCACTTTGCTTGTAGTCTCCCTGTCTCCTCTTTGCAAGAGCGCCTTGTTCCTCTCACTGCTCCACCCTAATTGCCACTGCTGTTCCCAGAAACAACCACTGCCCTTCACCCATCGTCCTTGATGTGATCAGTAAATACCAAGGTTCTGGGGCCTCATGGCCTTCATTCCCCATGAACAACTGGTCATCCCAGACCCCTGCTGTACCATGATTTTCTCTTGCTCTTTATTCTCGCCATGTGCCGTAACACTTGGCAGGAGATAGGGGACCTACCGCAGGGCTGCCCAGTAAGTAGCACCATGGAAAAGGTCTCCGATAGAGTTCACTGGTCATTTTCATCTAATTAATCTTTGGTCTCCAGGGATCCTTTCCCTTGAGTGTCACACTGAATGAGTGTCTGTTGTGTTGTTTCAGGTACGAAATGAGCCCTGCAACATTTCCATTTCTGCAGAATATATTGCTCAAGTGAAAGGGGTCTCAGTGGAAGAAGTTATCCAAGTGACCACACAGAACGCACTGAAACTATTTCCCAAGCTGCAACATCTGCTCCAGGAAGAGGGTCAAAGCCATGTATTGCAGAGCCCCATTGACTAGGGGGAGGACAGCATTTAAGAAAAAGAAATGTTCTGATTAAGAGCCTGAACTGTGCATGCAGCTGGAAAAGTGTTTTTAGAAATAAAGGTAACAGGGAGGGGATTAACATTGGGCTTGGGCCCAGAAACTAGGCAAGGTCCTGATTCTATCCCTGGGCTGCTTTTGTGTTAGTCAAGTCCGGGCCAGAGATTAGGAAAATGGCACTGGATGCTTCTTGCCTTTCCCCATTGTAAATTGAAATAGTATCTGTCCTAGGCTCTCGCTGCCCTGCCTGCCTAGTGGATCAGTTTCAGAATGCAAAACTCTGGTCAGTGAGAGTAGCACCCAGGTGTAGGAATGGAGCTTGGCTTGTTTTCTTTCTGATGTCAAACTTTGGCAGCCTTCCTAGGCTGTTCCAGGAACATGCCCCCACCTCCCACCCAGGCCCAGTGAATAGCAGCTAGCTCGGGAGTGTCTTTGTCTGCCTGTCCTGAGGCATTGACCTTCTAGCCAGCCATGTCCTGCATTACTAATTTTGTCTTTATTTCTTATTTCACCCTTTGGCAGTGTACCTCCTGCAGACAGTTGGGGATCTTGGCTAGGTCCCTGATATTTCACTGAATAGAGCCATCATCTGAACTGAGGCCATTGCTTCTAGGAAAGGGAGCTTCCATAGGCCAGGGGCCGCTCTGCTGTTCTGAGTGAGGAGGCTGTGGTGTGGTCCTCCTCCTGTGTTTTATTTCCTTGGGATTGAACCAGTACCTGCAGCGCATCAACAGTGGTGCCTTAGTTCATGAACACTTTTGTTTGCAAACAGTGTGGTTACAAACAGTGGTGTCTGGCAGAATTTCATTTTTGTTTGCAAACTGCACTTTGGGTGAGGAATATGACCAAGGCAATCTTTCCCTGCACAAACGCAGTCATGGCCATCTTTTGCAGAATTCTGGAACAAATTAAGTTCATGAACCAAGATACCTCTGTAGTTTCTTACACTATTAGAAATCTCTTCTGAGCTTGTAAAACTGAATTTTTAATACTTTCAGTTATTTCTCTTTAAGGAAAAAATATATAAGGTTTTCACTCTGATCTTAGATTGTGAATTAGGAAGCCATTCTACATAATCATTATTAAATACCAACCCCCAAAATTTAGTTAATAAACTGATTTGAAGTTCCGTCCTGAATAGTGTCACATCACATTTATCTGACTTTTCTGGTATGCAATAATATTTTATGTTTTTACATTAAAAAATCAATTATAAAAACAGTTCTATGGATTGACAGTAGCAATGCTATTCAACCACATGAATGTACTCAAAGCCACTGAAATGTACACTTACAATGGTCACATGGTAAATTTTATTTATTTCTTGTGGTTTTATAACTTTTTTTGATAATTAGTATGTAGTCCTCATTCACACTGAGATTTTCGAAAGTGGTAAGAGGAACACAAATGACCAGAGTACAGAGTTTGTTGAGGAAACTTCACCCTCTTGCCTCCTGTGGACAACAGCGTGTGGGCACCGCATGGGACATTGCTCCTTCCTTTGGCCCAGGCAGCTTTATGGATCCCAGTATTGATGTACATATCTGAAGTGTATAAATACTTTATTTATTTTTATTTTTTTGTAGAACCGGGGATTGAACTCAGGCCCTTGCGCTTGCCAGGGAAGCCCTTATTCCACTGAACCATCTCCCCAGCCCCTTAAGTGTATAAATACTTTATGGAAAATTTTCAGGTTTCTCCGAGTGCCCAACGGGAATGCTAATTGTTGAAGCCTGCTTCATGGATTAATGAATGTTATTACATTCTTGGGTCGTACTCTCAATGGCAGAAAGGCTCATCTTGTCTCCCTTCTCTGTAGCCATTCTGCCAGGCCCAGGCTAGAAAGGGCAAGATGGTAAATAATATATATGTAGTTTACCAGGTGTTGTGATGATACAGAAGAACATGGTTTTCTGTTTGTTTTTTTTTAATTTTATTTATTTATGTGTGTGTGTGTGTATGTGTGTGTGTGTGTGTGGCCAGCTCAGCCCACCAGGGGGCGGCGCTGGCTGGCATGTGGTGCTGGGGATTGAACCGTGGCCCCTGTGCTTTGCTAAGCTTGTTCTAAGTAGGTACTTTAGACCACTGAGCCATCTCACCAGCCCCGAACATGGTTTATTTAGATTATGTTTTCAACAGTTTCAGTCCGTGGCTGGCTGGCTTCAAGCCAGGAGCATCATGCAGAAGGGCCTGGTGGAGCAAAACTTCTCACTTTGCAGTGGCCAGGAAGCAGGAGCGGGGAAGAACGTCAGTGAGAGCCACATCCTCTGGCACTGTCCTAGGAATCCACCTCCAGCTGGCCTACCTCCTAACAGCACAGCTAGCTGTGAAGACCACTGAGGAGAACAGCGCACAGGGCCCAGTCAGCTCTGCAGGAGTCTCGTACTCTGGTCAACTTGAGATCAGTTGGCACAGGGGGCCTGCCGGTGAGCTCAGTTGTGTAAGCGCCTGCTCGTGCAAATGCAGTCAGGCTCAGGATACCACAGTTCGATCCCCACCTCCACCCGCCTTACCAGATCAACCCTTAAGGCAGCCTGAGCCAGCCAAAAAAAAGATTAGTTGCTACAGTCAACAAATGCTGGAAAACATGTAGAAGGAAAAAATCAACTTCCTAAGATAGCAGTGTTTTAAAAAATGTATATATTTGGTACAGGATCACCCTATGCAGCTTGGACTCATACTGATCCTCGTATTTTCTGCTTCCCCAGCGCTGGGATTATAGGTGTGCATACCTGGTCTCGGTGGCCAGCTCAGTGTGCCCAGGGGTGGGGCCAGCATGGCATGTGGTGCCAGGGATCGAACCCTGGTCCCGGTGCTTGCCTAAGCAGGTGCTTAGTCCATTGAGCTATCTTGCCAGCCCTATAAGACAGCAATTTTATATAAGAGATCACCAATAGATGATTTTGAAATGAATTCACTTACAGAAGAATAAAAACTAGCGCTGAGGGCCAGGGATATGGCTCAGTGGAATAAGCGCTTCCCTGGCAAGTGCAAGGGCCTGAGTTCAATCCCCGGTTCCGCCAAAAAAACAAAACAACAACAACAAAAAAACTAGCGCTGAGGTACATTGTCCAAACCAAAACAACTAAGACACAGGATAGGATACTATGTGAATATATTATGTAGCTTTCTGTTACTGTAACAAAATACTCAAGCAACATTTAAAGAGGTTTATTTTACCTCAGAATTTCAGAGGTCCATTTTATGGATGGTGGGTCTGTGGTGAGGCAGCATGCCATGCTGAGAAATGTGGAATGCAGCAGTCACCCATGGTGCATCAGAGAGAAAGAGAAGACCTAAAGCTTGCCTCTTCTCTTCACCTTCTAGTGTTTCTACCAGCACCACAAGCTGAGGACCAGGCCCTTCATATGGGCCATGGAGGGACATTTCAGACCCAAACTATAGCCATGAAGGGACATAACTGCCCATCAGCATCGCCATAGGAATTATAGACAAAATTCCTATGTCTCCCATGAGGTTATGTTACAACCAATCTTGTGAATTCTCCTTCAGCTCTGTTTCTTTTCCTTGTTTCCCACCTCTACTCAGCCTCCTAGCATTGAGATTACAGGTGGGCTCCACCACACTGGGTCTCAGTCAAACTCTCATCTTTGAATATGTAAAGGTTCTATTTAAATGGATTCCTTCCCCCCACCCCAACCAGTGATTGAACTCAGATCCTTGCGTTTGCCAGTCAAGCGCTCATCCTACTGAGCCATCTCCCAGGCCCCTAAATGGCTTCCTTTATGCAGTTGCCCCGGGCAGAAGTGATCCTGGCCCTTGAGAGTCTTCAGCCATTTCCCTCCCACCTACCCGTTGTTTGTTTCACCTGTTCCATAAACAGTGATTCTCTTAACTTTGGTATTGCAGAAATATAATACCTAGCCCCATTTAAAGGAAGAGAGGTATGGGAGATGTGGTGGTGAGTATTTAAATAAAAATTGTATTACAGTAAAAAACACTGCCATTAACCCCTCCAAATCCTCCTCTTTTGCTTCAAACACATTCCATCATTCTTGCCACTTTCTAAAGCATTCTGCAAGTTCTCTTTCTTGAGATTTCTAACTGTGCCATGGTGTTCGCCTCAGTGTCCCCAAATAATTCAAAACCTTTAAGGTTTGTGGTTATTGACTTTGGGGAAGAGCCTGAGGCCCTGGCATGGTGCCATATTTCATGAATAACGTAGGTGATGACACATGGTTTTACATGGCTGAAGTTGATATAGATGCTTCAAATCAATTCAGGACATTAGGGTAGCCACAAGAAGACACTAAAGATGATTTTTACCATATGGCAAGACTGATCAGGTAAGTATGTTTGAAGCAAGAGGTGTGTCTTGTGGGGATTAATTCTAATGTGACTTTTACTGTGAAAAAGTTTTTAAATTTAAATACACACTATCTTTTCAGACTAGCCCTTAGGTTTGGCTCTTGGTATGAGGGGACTCAGTCCCTGTTCAACAGGTGCCAAAGCAGGACCATCATGGTGTTAGAATGTGGTAGAGACAAGATGCTCCATCTGTGGCAGCGGGAAGCAGAACAGGGGACTAGCACCAGAGAGGAAGGGGTTGGGGTCCAGTAACAGGCCCCAAGGCCACACCTCTGTGACCCTCCAGACACATTCAGAAGTGTGTTTTACCAATGCTCTGGGCAGACCCTAAAGCCTATCAAGTTGACACTCCCGGGAGGTGGTGACCTACAGAATGGGGGTGGGGGAGGCTGCTGCATGGCACCGTGGGACTTCCCAGCTGACTCTGAGGCAGCACAGAGGAGGCTCATGTGGGATTTCAGGCAACTGTGGCATCAGTTCTGCACTGTCTGAAAGCAATACCATGAACTGGAGTGAGATGGTATTTTCAAACTAATAATAGAATTATTTTTTTAAAGACAAGACTTACTACGTAGTGCAGGCTCGCTTTGCACTTGCTTATGTAGCCCAGGCTGGCCTTAAAGTCACAGCGATCTTCGTGTCTCAGCCTTCCAAGTGCTGGGATTAAAGGTGTGTGCCACCTCACCTCACCAGGTAATAGAATTTTCTTTCTTTCTTTCTTTTTTTTTTTTTTTTTGGCTGGCTCAGGCTACCTTAAGGGTGGGTCTGGTTAGGCATGTGGAGCTGGGGAACTAACCATAGTATCCTGCCCTAGACTGTGTTTGCATAAACAGGTGCTTACACAACTGAGCTAACCAGCAGGCCCCCTGAAAATGTTAAAATATATGTGATATACATCTTTCAGTGCAAGAGAGGAGTGATTAATATATCTAGCTCTCATCACTTGATGGTTTTGCTGCTAATTTCAAGAGAGTGTGTTTCTATTTTATTAAGAAAATCTTCAAATTTGAGTCTACCAGTTATAACCTCCAACTTTGTTTTGAATGTACCTGTATGTCTTGCATTGAGTCATTACTGATGTAACCGGTTTGATCTTGTTGAGCCCTATTCGTAGGCCACTTGTTACAGTGTCTTCCAGCATTATTGCTCTTAGGCTGTACCTTTTGCAGTTTCACATGGGTACCTCTACCAGAAGAGGAAAACTTATGCAATATATTCTGCTGCTGGACAGCACTTTAAAAAGCTCTTTGGGGGCTGGGGAGATAGCTCAGTAGAATAAGTGCTTGCCTGGCAAACACAAGGGCCTGAGTTCAATGCGCGGTCCCGGAAAACAAAACAAAACAAAACAAAAAACCCTCTTGATTAATAAAGAAGCCAGACCATAAACTGGCTAAAAAATCATGTCCCAGAGTTAGCAATGAATTGGTCACACTGGCTTGAGCAAGGCAGATATTTAGAAGGAATATTGGTGTAATTTAAATATTTGAAAACTGTTAATACAACTATATATCCATAATATATGCAGATATATATAATCTAGGAAAAATGTCAATGCCAGGGCCTGCTGAGTTGATTGCTCTTATGGAGATATTTTTATTTTTTTAATTAAATTAATTTATTTTTTGGTGCTACCAGGGATCAAACTCAGGACCTTGCGCTTGCCAGGCCAACACTTACTCCACTGAGCTATCTCCCCAGTCCCCTAGAGATGTTTTTAAAGCCTCAAGTCATATAAAGTTGTAATGTATCTTTACTGGATGAATTTAGAAAACAGTATTATACTATAGAAAGCTAACCAAGCTATCCTGC